TATCCTCATCATTTTCAGAAAATATGGCCGAAGAAGATAATCAATCACTTCATAATGAGAATAATGAGAATAACCGTGCTAGCACACTCAGAGTAAATTTGAATTGAAGAATAAAATTGAAAACCAATAAAAATTTATAAAAGAGTCAATGAAAAAACTAAAACTAAAAAGAATAAGGACCAACTTGAAAAAAATAATATATGTCAAAATGAAATTAATGAATGAAATTGAAAATAAATAAAACTTATATTGGGCTAAAGTTGAATATTAATAACAAAAAAGATCAAACTATACTTTTAAAGAGAAGAAAAGAAGATTATCATCGACAAACCAAACTACTATCGTAGAAATGCGCGAGTGGTCAATTAAAATCTGTTGAAAAATCTATTAAAAACATTGTTGAAACAAATGAACACTCAACCAACGATTGTCCAACCTTGCCTTCTTTTAAAGAATGTCTCCATGAACAAGCCCATGCTTTAAACAATTTCAAAAGGCCCAATCATAACCCATATTTGCAAACATAAAATCCTGGTTGGAAAAATCACCAAAATTTCAGTTGGAAGAGTGAGAACAACAATGCACAAACTTCACAACCACCCTTTCAAGCACATCATAATTTTCAACATTCTTATGGATTTGCACCTTCTTATGCTCCACCTCGTAGAAGAAATCTTGAGGAAATGTTTTATAATAATAAGTCTAATACTATAAGATACATTTAATTTATGATAAATGTTCATCTTAAATGCAAGCTTATCACATAAATGAAAGGATTGATTGATGAGTTTAATAACTAAAATTAAAATGACAAAAAGATGGTCAAACTTATAAAAAAGATGCGGGTGTAGTCCATACCTGAACACAGTTCAGTTATTAGTTTAGATATAGAGCTATAGATATCAGATTTAGGTCTACTTTATATGGATGGAAAGGTAAGACATAGGCCTACAACTTTCATATGGAGCCCAAGATTTAAAAAGGCTATTTTCAAGTCAAAATTATAGCTACAACAAAGAAGTCTGAATCTGTCCTATATCCCGCACACTGTTCAATGTTTGGTCCATATCTGGAGTTCTACAAGTACAAATGACCTTTGTTTTTTTTTTCTAGAAAGCTGAGACAATTTCCTACAACTTTTATTTTTCAAGTGATTCTAATTCTAACGTTGTCAATGATGTTTTGGGTAGACAAGAGAAGATTAAGATTGTCACTAAGTCAAG